GATGTAAGACGGCGTGAGGTAACAGCGTTGTAGGCTATACGCAGACACTCTTACGTGGCACGCAATGACGCTGTTGACGCAGGCAACAGGCAACAGCAAACGGAATAAAAGCCGGCTGAGCAGTAAGCATGAGTTAGTTGAAATGTGGCCATCGCCGAGTTCCGAGTTAGTCCCAAGCAAGCCTACGAGTGAGTTAAAGTGTATCAGCGGCCGAAGACAGTTCTCCAGTCAGCAGTGAACGAGTAAAAGTGTGATAATCAGTGACAGTTTGTGATAACTGAGAACTGATTGGGAGTGTGTGATACAGTGACACTTGTAGAGCTCCCGTACTGTGAAATGTGTAGTCTACTGACAATAGCGTGAATTGATTTGCGAATAGGGTTATAAATTGTGAATCCCCGCCATATTGTTATAATTAACTGTAGCCGTTACTTGTAGGTTGTTAAATAAACAATCAACAATCTCTATGGCATAATCCGCAACGAAACACGTTACAATATTTATTGTAGTATATGTAGGATGAACAAAACCTTTTAGCGGATGCAGGACAATTCAATTCAATTTATTTTTGTTCATCAGATCTACATTTGGCGATGGCGCCTCCAGGTATAGAACAAGTCAAAGCCCAAGTTACTATAAAATCAATCATGAGTATGTCATAAAGATATTACAACTTATATACAAACATTGTTGCAATAATTATTGATACAAGTAAATTTACTGTCATTGTCAACACTATGCTCCACGATGCCACACTGAAATACAAATCACATCAATATTCACCCTTTTTTTCTTTCTTCTTTTTCTTACAATTTAAACCCAAAAGGACAATGTTATCATTAAATACAACATGCATATAACACTTGCATCGTAACTTATTATCATAATAAAATACATATTAACATTGTCTATTATAGAGAAAAAGCATATCTAGAGAATTATAGGTATCATAAAATAAAAGTTTTTAAAAATGACTAGTGTTGTTTTATTTATCTGTAATTAATACAATCATACCTTGCTTTCCATTTATAATACTCATCTAAAGAATAAAAAGAGCCCACCTGCAAAAATTTTTTAAGGGAATATTTGAATTCATTTAAGTCTTGCGATAAATTTTTTATACTATGCGGTAATTTATTAAACATTCTAATCCCAGTGTAAGATACTCCCTTTTGAGCCCTGGTTGATTTATAAGTTGGATAATGTAATTCGAATCTTTGTCGAGTATAAATGTTATGAATATCTGACTTGCTACATACTTATCCATGTTTTTAACTATGAAGACCAATATTGAAAATATATACTGTGAATAAAATGGAAGAATGTTTAATATTTTAAATACAGGCCAACAAGTGTCACTATTTCCTGCTTTCATTATTACCCTAATTTTTCTTTTTTGAATTTTAAAGATTTGGGTACTATACGTTGAATTTACCCAGAATATTATGCCATATGACATTATAGAATGAATGTAGGCATTATACATCATCAATAAGCTCTCCAGGGACAATATTGAGATTAGAACTCTTATAGCATAACAAGCCGAGCTTAATTTGCTGGCTGTTTGTTTAATATGTCCCTTCCATGTTAACGTACTATCAATTGTCAGTCCAAGGAATTTCATAGTACATTTACTAAGAAAATGCAAGACACCACAGGAAGTTTAACTTTATTCATTCTGGTCCATCACACTAATTAAATATTGTAGAATGATTTGACAACACCAACCAGTGTGACTCAGATGTATATTTATATGAATGCCTTATATGTTTCGGTCAGTTATGACCACCTTCAGAAGGCACAACATATTGAGGAAACTAACCATAGTACATCAAGTTGAATGCACTCAACACACAATATAAGGAGAAACAGCTCAACAACATATATTCTTTACCATCTATATAAAAAGGGGTAAACAACATTACTTGGACCTCTAAGGGTGGCAATATGACCCCTATCTCCCATTGATAGAAGAGTATTGAAGACATGAACATTAATTGTTCAATATTTTAAATATTAAGAATTTTAATAATTTTTAACTCAACCACATTTGATCTTAATTAAAATCTTTATATAAAAAACTGATTGAACTTGATGTACTATGATCAATGTAATAGTAGTTACCTCAACATGTTGTTATTCCCCTGATGATGGTCATAACTGACCGAAACATGTAAAGGCATTCATATAAATATACATGATTATAAATATATACAGGGTGTCCCAGGAGGAATGGACCAAACTTCGGGAGGGTGTTCCTTATGTTAAAGTATGCCGATATAACCCAAAACACCTATGACCTATGTCCAAAGTTGAACGGTTTCAGAGATAATGGCCCAAGAAAAGTGTGGTCTTCTTGCAGGTCCACGCACTGTACCTTTCAGCTGAGAGGCCTTATCTGTGTTTATCCTTGAGTACGGTGATACACCCTAGCCGTGCTTATGTAGTTGGCTTTATCAGAACGCGCAGTCAGTACGTTACGTCAGCGCTTGCCATTCATGTGTCATGTATAGTGCTTGGAAACCCTAAGGACAATTATGACATGGCGAGCGAGTATTTTGTACTTCACTTTTATGGCTTCATGTCACTCACAAGTTAGTTTGATGTTACGTACATTATTAACATTACAGAATCCACATATTCCTGCCAGTTTTAATATGTATTTTGTAATCAACAAGTGTGCAACGCCGGTCAAAGT